AAGTGTTTTAGTTGCTCATTACGATTATGATTCATGCTGACTCAGTTCAGAGAGCCAGCCCCGCTGATGTCCTTTATAATGACATTTTAGCAGCAGCAGCAGCAGCAGTCTAGTGTTCCCTGACAGTGTACACAAAAGTCCTTTCTTTGCTGCTTGTACTGGGCGCTCATGTTATGTCGATAGGAGTGCGATGCTTGGACTCATTTATACTTGTCCTGGACGTGTTATTTTTGGCAAATGCTCTACCGTTGCTTGATTAGGAGTTAACAAACAAATATGGCTGTTTATATTTGCACGCCTGCTTTGTGAGCCGATGGAAGTAGCTGGTTAGTCATGCACTGCACATGCAAATAATGTTAACGTCGGCCATGGGAGCTTTCCAAGCCGATGTATTATTGGCACTGATTTAGCTAATATTTTGGTCACACTTTAATTGCATGTTTGTTCCAAAGTTAAGATCTATATAAATCCAAAAAGTGTTGCTTTACTTTGCTTTGCTTTTCTTGCACATATTAGCCAAACCACTTTGTTTTTTGCTGAAGTAAGAAAATGACAAATTAAAATGACTGTGGAATCTAAGGGGTTGTCTCTGTGTTTAATCGCAGTGTAACATTTAGAAGGTTCGAGATCAAACTCCAAGAAGAACCAAACTACACTTTAGAATCACATTTTTACTTCAATGAATGTTTCAAATGGATTTAATTAATAGTCACTTACTTTATTTCACACTCTCTGTATATTCTGCCAGCAAAGTTCTAGCACTTATTGGGCTTGTTTTTTGAATTTTTCCTAATGAATCCATATATAATTGTTTGTGTATTCTGACAGGCTTTTTGTTTGTTTCTTCAAGGTTGGTTGTTGTCTACTCACAGTCATATGTTTGGATATTAACACATATAAATGCCTCATACTTTGCGGTCAACCAAGGGGTCTTTTTCAGGTACAATACGATACCGGTTATTGGTAGTCAAGGACGCCAATAACTGATGCATAGAGCCAATATTTGTCTGCCATTGTGAAACAAAACAAGAAAACATATAATTGTAGAGCCCAATCTCTAGGTCACAGATGCTGTCTTGTATTTGATGTGATTTCATCTAAATAAGTATTATATAATTTCATTTTGACCCATACAAATAAAAATAAATCGGTACTAATCAGACAGTACTTTGTTTAGACACAAATCCAGTAAGAAGGACTGATGCAGTAGACTAATACATGTTTTTGTTGTGTGAGTTGGAGCATTGTTGTTTTGACCAATAGGCTGGATTAGATTCATTTAAATATTAGAAAAAATGTCCTATACCATAATATATATATCATTATGGATCAATATCCGATTATTGCTCAAACCCTCATCTTTCATCACTTCCTATTCATAGAAGGGCCGTTTGTTTCCCAGAACAAGAAACCACTCTCTTAATCAAAATATATGCAAAGTAGACATAATAATAATCCCACTGCTTTGCTTGTTTGCACGCAGACTAATAACCTATAAAGCAATCTGTCTCATTGTCTGGTGCATTGTCTGCATATCGAGGCTTTTCCTCCCTCCTAATTCATTCAGTGTATGTTAGCAATGTTAATTTTAGTCTTTCCTGTTCTGAATCAATGAGGATGTTGCAAAGACCAGTTTGATTAATTAGTCCTGATCGGTGCTTGATTAAAAATGCTTTGATAGCGTTTTAATGGACTCGTTTGGATGGGATTACACGGGGAGATGCTCTGCGGGCACACTGGCATGAATCTGCTGCGCTGATGGATGCTCTGTCAGTCACACGAGCGGCTCGAGCCATGTGGAAACGTGCAATCATGCGTCCCTGTCATTTCACGTTCCCATACAATCCGAGCAGACTTCATTAACAAAACAGTTGTTTTGTGTTTGTGATGGCTGCGGCTTTTCCCCCTTTCTCTTTGGTTCATGCAATAAGTCTATAATGTTCTCTCCTTGAAGTAAACAATGTACATTTTTTATTTTTTGGGGGATTTTCTACGATGAAGGAATATTATGAGTTTGAACCCCTATTTTTTATTTTTTATTTTAGCCCTTTAGCAAATGGTTGGGATACAGTTTGAGGGTCAAATTATCTAAAACCAAGTGAGATGACCCAAAGAGTATATATCTATTTTTTGCATTTTAAAAACATTTTCTATTAAAGACAACAAAACAGACAAACACACCAACATTCAACAAGAACACAAAATAAAACAAAATCACAAAAGTACAACCCCAAACAGAGCAAACATAACACAAAGACAAGACAAAATATATATACTGTATATAATTATTAATAGAGTGGAAGAAGAGAAAAATTATGACGATAATAATAACAATAATAATGATAATGATAACAATAATAATAGTAATAATGATGATGATAATAATAACAATGATAATAATAATAATAATAATGATAATGATAATGATGATGATGATAATAGTAATAATGATAATAATAATGATAATGATAATGATGATAATGATAATAGTAATAATGATAATAATAATGATAATGATAATGATGATAATAATAATAATAATAATGATAATGATAATAATAATGATAATAATGATAATAATGATAATAATGATAATAATAATAATGATAATAATAATAAAAATAATAATAATGATGATGATAATAATAATAATAATAGTAATAATGATAATAATAATGATAATGATGATAATAATAATAATGATAATGATAATAATAATAATAATAATGATAATAATAATAATAATAATGATAATGATAATGAAATTAATGATAATAATAATGATTGGAAGAAAAATTATCATTTGAAAAAAATCATTAATAAACAGGTATATTTCAGTTCCAAGAATGCTTAAAGTAGATATATTGACTCAAAAGGTGAACCACTAAATTGTTGAGGAAACCATTAAAGGGTGTTTTCTACTTCCCTTCTCTCCGTCAGAGTAAGCGCTGGTGTGAGGCGGGTGCAGGTCCCACCGGAGCTGCATAAAGGCCACAGAACAAGGCACCAAAAATCAGAAACAATACTGAACACAGCCCTTCAAATGTCAACAGACATGTTTGTTGTTTTATCCACAATAAGTCATGTGTTCCTGCAAAACGCTGAATACAGAACCATTGTGTTATGAGCAGCGTGTTTACAAGTCAGATTATCATGGTTGTCCTGTCAATTTCTGTTTCAGGTAATGTGGACTCCTAGTGGTCAAATAAAGTCATTACAATTACAAATTTGTTGTCAGAATCTAACACTAATCCACCTGCTGGGGTTTAGATAGAAATGGTACTTCTCTGTGTAATACTTATGATGACTTATTGTTATCTGGTTTAATTTAAATGTATGCAGTGCTAATTTCTGTTAATTAAAAACAAACTGGGAACCCAAATGAGAGCCTCATTCTGCTCTCTGATTGGACAATCTGAAATCAAACACAAATATTGTAGTAGTAATATAGTAGTGCGACAGTAGTTCAGTTGGTAGAGCATTGGCCTTTGAGCCAGAGGGTCATGGGTTCGAGCCCGACTTTCACCATCGACTCCCACTGACATCTGCTGTTGTTGTGTCCTTGGCAAGACACTTAACCTTTGGGAACAGCAGCCACAGTGGGGCGGCTGTAAAGCGCCAAACTGCTGTTGTGTCCTTAGGCAAGACACTTCACCCCCATTGCCTAGAATGAGTCTGGTGTGTGTGTGAATGGTTGGTGGTGGTCGGAGGGGCCGATGGCACAGACTGGTTGCCTCGCTTCTGTCAGTGTGCCCCAGGGCAGCTGTGGCTACAGTAGTAGTTTATCACCACCGTGTTTGGAGAGAAACATAAAAGCGATGCATAATTATTATTATAAAAATAAATATCTAGATATTTTTTTCCCAACTCTCGATAACGATATTGTCATGATATCTATAGATAGAGACAGTGTAGATCTAAATAGAAGCTTCACACTTCTTTGCAAAACATGCACAAACATATATTAACTTTAAAAATCAAATTCAAGTAACACAGAAAGAACACATCTAAAAAGGCTCAATATTTACTGAAATGTACAAATAAAGCAGTGATTGGCTTTTTAGGCACACATTAGACCAAATGAGCATCTGTCCTTCTCTAATTGTAATATGTATTGTATGTAGAAAGAAAAAGGACGATAATACAAAAAAGCATATCTGCAAATTGACTTTCACGATATTATTGTCTACGATATATTTTGCACACCCCTAATGTCTATTATTTTTTTAGATAAGAATGACTTGACTTTAGTTCCAATAAGGTTGAATATAATTCATGTGCCATTTTATCTGGAGAGACATACTGTATAAACGATGAAGATATTACATGCATTACCTTTAACAGTTTATGGTTTATTTTAAATAAATAATTAAATAAACGGTTTAATCTATTGTGCTATTTTTTGTATCATGCTTCATTTTGGGTCAGAGCCCATCTTCAGAAAGGAAAAGTGGCTTCTTCTCAAGAAACTAATTTTAAAAAGTGCTATTATCTTTCTGGCTCCAATAACAGTGAAACGTTTCCATCATGGAATTATTTCATTTTCTACGACTGATAAGTGATGTACGGCACTACTGATGTGTAAAATAAAGGGTTATTTAGCGTGATTAAAATCTGTATAAGCCTGAATCATTTATAAACTATTGATTAGAACTATTCCCCCATGGTTTAAGGTGAATTTAACCTATGAAGTATTTAGTATTACAGAGCCGTGCTGTGTGGTTGAATGGTGGAAAGGTTGATGAATCCAAATCAATAAATCCAAAAAGCATGAAATTGAGACCCTAATAAAGATGAACAACTACTACATCTCAATATAATAATAATCTCCAACACGGAATTCCATAAACCTTTGTAGACTTTCAGAGATTGACTGTAAGGACCTGTCTCAGTTTCTAGAATTTTCAGTTACACCATCTGTTTCTTCTCCATAACTGTATTTGTTTGTCATTCCCCACTGCTTCCACTCAGCCCTGTAAACAGATGTGTGTGTCTTGCAGGAGGGACCGTACGTCATGTTGAAGAAGAACTGGGAGATGTATGAGGGGAACGACCAGTTTGAAGGCTACTGCGTGGACTTGGCCTCGGAGATCGCCAAACACATCGGAATAAAATACAAAATCTCCATCGTCCCAGACGGCAAGTACGGAGCCCGAGACCCGGAGACCAAGATCTGGAACGGCATGGTGGGCGAGCTCGTGTATGGGGTGAGTAGAGAACTGATGGTCCCCAATGGTCTTCAAAGTTTCTCAACTTTGGTCCCCAAAGGTCCTTAAGGTTCCTCAATGATCCTCAATGGTCCCCAATGGTTTTCAAGGTTCCTCAATGCCCCCCAATGGTCCTCAATGGTTCCTAATAGTCGTCAAGGTTCCTCAATCGTCTTCAATGGTCCCCAATGATTTTCAAGGTTCCTTAATGGTCCCCAATGGTCTTCAATGGTCCCAAATGGTCCTCAATGGTCCCTAATAGTCCTTAAGGTTCCTCAATGGTCCCCAATGGTCCCTAATGGTCCCCAATTGTCCCTAATGGTCCCTAATGGTCCCTAATTGTCCTCAATGGTCCCCAATTGTTTTCAAGGTTCCTCAATGTTCCCCACTGGTTTTCAAGGTTCCTTAATGGTCCCCAATGGTCTTCAATGGTCCTTAATGGTCCCTAATAGTCCTTAAGGTTCCTCAATGGTCCTCAATGGTCCCCAATGGTCCCTAATGGTCCCCAATTGTCCATAATGGTCCCCAATTGTCCATAATGGTCCCCAATGGTTTTCAAGGTTCCTCAATGGTCCTCAATGGTCCCCAATGGTCCTCCAGGGCCCCTTCATGAATTCTACAGCTTTTTTGGCCGTCTCCGTGGAATTATAAAGTTCTATCTACATTCTGGCTACTTTGAGGTTTGACCCCTTGTAGAGCAAAAATATAACTAGGTGTGAAACTAGGCGTATTTGACACAAATTACTACTGATGGGCAGATGAACCCCCGTAACACGTTCCTTATATTATGGATCTTAAAACTACAAAGAGGGAACATTGTTGTAACGTGGTTAATGTATCTTAAAACGTCGGGCTTTAAGATTTGTCCTCAATTTTTTTTCTCACGCCAAGACACCTTTGTCCACCCCTCACTTTTCCCTCTTTCATCATAAATCTTTCATCGCAGACAGATATAAAGATGTAGTTAATGGAACTTCACTCAAGGAAAAATAATAAGATGAAATGAAAAAGTAAAGAAGGGAATGTTCTACCAGCACACAGGTCATTTTTGTATTATTTGATATGAGTCTCATCAATTCAGATTCGACATTTCCACATCTCTTTCTCTTGTGAAGGACTTCTTTTGTGGGAGACAGTAACTAGAGCCTTGTGAGTTCCACCTGTCCGCACGCCCCATGAGAGTCTATTAAAAAAACAACTGCCAGTCTCGCTTCCCCGCAACTTCAAAACATGTCCAAAATATCACATCTTTCTCTGTGTACTTTACTTTTTCAATTATTATTTTTTTTTTCTAATCCCCAACTAATTACGCTCTCCCACTGCAATGCGAGGACCCTGACATTCGACACAAGCTGCAAACTTTATCAACATGCCCGAGACAATGTCAGTAGTCAGCGCGTGGAAGAGTGGAAGTGGAACGGCGACAGAATTCATTAGGGCTGGATGTGGGTGGTGGGAGGTGACACGGCAGAACGGAACCAGTGACTAATGGAGTCTGATTTGTTCCAAACCTTGACAGTCTTCTCACAACACTGCACCAAACAGTCTATCCACACTTTGTGCTTTTTACTTTGTGTCCGTTACACTCCCAGTCTATTTAAATAACCCTATTGTCTCGGCTGGTTGTAGTGAGAGGCTTTCGATCAGATTTGTAGACTGCGGAGTTTGGTAAAGCGTTTGTCTGCAATAACCGTGTAGGTGCAGATAGATGGTTAGATTCTGTCTAGATTTGTCCCATGAGGGGAAATCCAATTGCTCACAGATATGCCTACAGATAACAGAGACAATATGTACTGGTGAAATTCAGAGAAGTAGAATAGGGTTCAAACTTTGTAATTCACCTTATGATGGTAAACAAACATATGATAACTGTTATTTGGTATAATGTTGTTAAATGTCTCTCCGAAAATGTGACTTTTTTGAAACCAGACTATAAGCCATCATCAAAAATATATATAAAAAAAGCATATCGTGGTGATCTATACAGCAGACATCACTTCACATATTGGTTTTACATATTTAGGTGAACTACAGAAATAAATGAACCTTTGAATGATATTGTAATTTTCCAAGGCATACATTTCCTGCATAAACATTGTTCATTGTAGCTTTCAGCATCAGGGATATGCAAGGTTGATTAGTCTTGTGGTATTCTAGATTTAGCTATAAACATAACATTAGACATTTAAACAGAGCTTCTTTATAAAATATTTATCAAAAATCAAGTGTATTATTTATATTAGAAGATATATTTTCATCATGGCTGAGGGGCCAGAACTTCTACTCTATATATTCATTTTCATCATAGACTTTTACAAAAAATGAGGATCTGGATTAGACATTAAAGTTTATAGTGTTTTGCCTGATCCTTGAAAAGAATATGATTTCAAATACAGTGAATGAATGAGTGTCGGTGCTTTCGTCGACCACTTTATATTCCTCTAATGTGACTTTTAAGGCCAGAATAACTTCTCTGTTCTACTATGCTTCCCTCCGTTTCATCTGTTCAAGGTTCAGTCATTCTCTCTATTCTCTCCTTCCTTTTATTCCTCTTATTCCCATGTCTTTATTGTTTAAAACCCGAACTTCTCTTGATCCTCCTCTTCTGCCTCGGCCCCTGATGGTTCAATTATCTCCGGTTCTTTCCCCGTCTAGAGCTACAGTTCATCACACACTGTTTTTCTTACCCAATTGCATTTGGTTTCTCATGTTTTGTGGCAGAAAGCAGAGATAGCCGTGGCCCCGTTGACCATCACTCTGGTGCGGGAGGAGGTGATCGACTTCTCCAAGCCGTTCATGTCTCTCGGGATCTCCATAATGATAAAGAAGCCGCAGAAGTCCAAGCCCGGGGTCTTCTCGTTCCTGGACCCTCTGGCCTACGAGATCTGGATGTGCATTGTGTTCGCCTACATCGGTGTCAGTGTTGTGCTCTTCCTAGTGAGTGACAGTTCTGTAATCTGACCGATGTGTGTGTGTTTGTGTGGTGTGTGTGTGGTTCATCTATGCGGGCTGTCCAAATCTTGTTTGCATGGGTTAATGTTAAAATAAACATTCGTCTCTGCTTGAATCACGTCTTTCTGTCAAGATTAATGGCAGTAAACGTCTCGACTTCAGCCTATACCCCTTTTGGTCCAGCATTATTCAGCACTAAAATTGTTTTTTTTGCCTTTATTGCATTCTCTCAAGGTCTGGCAACTCATGACAGATGGCAATGACAATTTAAAAAAAAAATGCCCCAATTACAATCAAAACCATGTCCTCTGCAACCAACAAAAATCATACAGGCATCAATCAAAAAATAAGGCAAAACAAAAGAGGATGGACAAATAAGAATATATTACAAACCAGATATAGACAGACAAGACCAGACAAGACCCAAACAGAGACCGCCCCAGACCCAGCCCCAGACCTAGACCCAGACATAGACAGACAAGCACTAAATTTCTTAATATACACAATTCAGTTTATTTTCTTTTTTGTTATTGTAAAATGTATACAATTTTGGAAGACTTGTAACCTGAGATCCAATGTTCATAATAACCGAAGAAATAAACTACTACTACCTCTCTTTCTATCTCCACTACTAAAACTAAGACACAAGCCATTGATTTGACCGTCTTCCTCCAGGTCAGCCGCTTCAGTCCGTACGAGTGGCACGCAGAGGAGCCCGAGGAGGGGGCGGCCGAGCAGGGTCCGACCGACCAACCTCCCAACGAATTTGGCATCTTCAACTCCCTCTGGTTCTCCCTGGGCGCCTTCATGCAACAGGGCTGTGACATCTCCCCTCGGTGAGCTATCCTCCTCCTCCAGCCGTGTGCAAATACAGCTATATAACGTCCACGCTTGTGTGTCGGATGGGTCTAGAGGCAGATTTAGTCTTTTGAAGTGCTGAAGTCCACTGGGAATGCTGTGTGTGGCTCGGCGTGTGCACGGACGCCGTTCTTTCCGGTTGTTGCTTATGCGAATGTCCTCTTTTACAGCTTTCCTGCTTACTAGTTTCTCAAAAGGCCCAGCTACAAAAAGGCAAAGCCGCTTACAGCTATGATCATGTCCGCCAAGGTGGGAAGATTTAGCGAGTTAGCGAGGTGTGCATGAATATTTAATGGCGCTCCGAAGAGGCAAGGGTCCAGCAGTATTTTTAGAATATTTATAAGAATATAGCATTTTATTATTGATAACCTGAGAATGCAGTTTGGTGAAAAATTCATAGACATCATCTTGGCGACCTTCAGGGACCAAGTCTGAGGAGAGATGAGCAGAGGAGAAGTTCTCACCTCAACAACAGTGGGGAGGAGGGATGGGAGATGGTGGTGCTACACACTCCATCAGTGCCACACTTAAATACGAGCAACAGAGTGAGTTTTCATACTGTAATTATAGAGTGTGTACCTTTTTTGGGCTTTGTAACTATGTGACTTTTTTCTATCTATAATTGCATGAAATTATATTTTATTTTTTAAATGTGAGAAGTTCAAGTTTTTGGTTGCTTGATTACCAACATTCTTCGGCACTCTTTTTCAAGGTGCTGTTTTGGTCTGGTTCTGCTTCTGAAACACGTCAGCTCGGTTTTCCACCAGAGAAGAGCCAGTGCTAGTTACCATAGCAACACACTCAGTAATTTTCCAGTCATATTCTCCGCTGCGAAAGTGCAATACAAACATCTGTAATACACCATGATGCTGCTAACTACAGTGTATTCCACAAGCGACCAATCTTTGAACCAAGTGCAACCAAGTTTTATTTTATTACTGTATCTTATCATTGAATTATTGATTGTATTATCTATTATCTTAAATAATAGACCCTGTATAATTGTGCTCTTATAGGACCCCCTTGAAAAAGAGATGGTTCATCTCAAGGGGTTATCCTTAAGAATAAATAAATAAAAAATAAATTATATCTTCCGTATATTCTGCTGTAATGTGCTCAACGACGAAATGTATGAATAATGAGTAATAATACATTGTACTTATAAATCGCTTTTTGGACACGAAAAAAGAACAAATAAACAATAAACACAATTAAAAGCTAAAAAATAAAATGGGGGCAGCTGCAGCAAAGGGACAATCGTGATATGTTGAGGGAAAAGCTACCACATGGGCGGCACGGTGGCTGAGTGGATAGCACTCTCGCCTCTCAGCAAGAAGGTCCTGGGTTCGAATCCCGGTCGGACCAGGGCCTTTCTGAGTGGAGTTTGCATGTTCTCCCCGTGTCTGCGTAGGTTTCCTCCGGGCACTCCGGTTTCCCCTACCACTAAAAATATGTCCAATAGTTCTGGCATGCGCCTCCTGTACTGGCGACCCCGCTCCCATCTCTGTGTGGAGTGAGAGACAAATGCCCAAAATTAACAATTGTAAACCGCTTTGAGACTCAGATCTGCAGTGAAAAGGCGGTATATAAATAAAAACTTACTTACTTACTTACTTACCACATCACCACACATGTTGTATTTTGAGTTTCAGTCTTTTTGTATTCAAGCTCCAAACGCCCCACGTGTTTACAGCCCCCGGTCTAGTGCTCACTGTTTTTTACTAACTTTTTGGTTTTGTTCTTTGTTTCTCCCTTAATCTGCAATTGCAAGTGTGATTTAATAGTGTTGCAGATGGTATGAATTTAAAAGCTGTTGCTACAAGGATTAACTTGAAGTAAAGAAAGCAGCTCCACAGTGTTTCTACAGCATAAAGTTATCTCAGATTAATATTGTGTTATTGAGATGCTCGACCACTTGCAACTAGAAAGATGGGTGGCTGTGGAAGTGTATCTGTGTTAGCCTGTGTACCTCGGCCGCATCATGGCTGGGTGGTTAGCATTTTTGCAGCTCAGTAAGACAATCCCGGGTTGGAATATCAGAACAGGGTCTTTCTGAGTGGAGTTTGCATGTTCTCCCGTGTCTGCATCTGGTTTCCCTTACCACCAACTGCATCTTCTAGTGAAGGTGGTTCTGAAGAGATTGGTTCCTGGGTTCTGCACTATGGCGACAACTGCTACTGACAGAGGCCCTAGTGGTCTTTCAGGAGGAACATTTGTCCCTAAATACAATAAAGTATAAATTAACTTAAAGTAGCAATATGGTCCGTGTATTTTTCGTTCAATTGTTTTTTCAAACTAAAATTGAAAATGAAATATCAAAAAATGGCTTGAATTTTCATTTTTCATTTTGATGAGGAAAAGGAAAAACAAAAAATTGGCTTGATATTTGATTTTTCGTTTCGATGCAAAAAATGAAAATACAAACTATTGAATAATGCTATCATGCCGATTTGATTTCATTTTTCATTTTGGCGCAACCGGAAGTGTGCGCCAAAGCCCGTGCACCCCATTATTTTTGTCCGGTTTGAAACAGCAGAAAGCAGGCGCGTGCACGAGGAACAGAACAGAAACAGCTGATATGGTCTTGTCCTGATCATTTACAGATTTGCGGGATGACTTCAACAGAGGTAAGTAATGTTTCTGTTTTGTATGATATTTAGACCAAATCAATGTGTATATTTTCCAAGATGTGATATTTCAACAAATGTAAAGCGAAGTGAATTATCAAAAGAACGTTTGAAAGGGGAACAAAAAAGTGTCTATTATGTATATATAAACGTAAGCCTAACTGTAATAATACAATTCCACAGATAGAAATGCTTCCATGACAAGCCAAAATCATCTTTTCATTGGGCCTTATAAGGTTAGCGTAGCATGAGACTTTTTGTTGTATATTTACTACTCATAAACATAAATCAGTGAAGTCACTCTTATTTTTCAGCCAAGACAAGCTAACATTAGCAACATTATTATTCCCATAGAAAATACAGCATAATTACCACTGTTACTGTTTTTTATTAGTGTTATTACTGACACTAGTCTGCTCCTAATACTACACAAGTTGTCTGTAGGTATAAAACTATAAGATCAACTGTTCTGATACATTCAAAATATTTTTTCATGGCTCACATGAATGAAGTTTGTACAAAACATACATTCCAGAATGGTGACATCTAATTATTTTTGCTTTTCCTTCTAGAACTCCAGTCCAGTTAAATCTGAGTTTCTGAGAGCAGTGACTCTGAAAGGGGGAGAGGAGGAGGAGGAGGAGGAAGAGGAGCAGCCAGAGGAGAGTCTAGAATAAGAAGAGCACAACCTGTTGGTTATAAAGAAGCCCGCTTTATTAGTCCCACAGTGGGGAATTAAAACAAAAATGCAACTCATCACCACTTTAGAAACAAGTCTTACTTTTATTTCAATGTTTGGGAAAAAATGTGTAAAAAAATCTGACATAATATAAATAAATGTGCTGTGTCCATCTTTGATTGCTGTCCTCTGTTCAGGGAACAGATATAAAGTTCTAGAAAAAGAAAAAAATATATTTTTTATATCATTGAGACTTTTTTCACATTTGATTATCATCACTACCTGTCCTCTGTTGTGTCTGCTCCAGTTCAGCTGCAGGAGGAGGGATGAGGAGGACAGGACCCTGGGCCCTGGGGTCATGACCCCCAGCAGAGCTGAGGTGCTGGTCTGGGATAGAGCTGTAGTCTTCAGTCTCCTTCACAGTGTAACACTGAGACTTTTTGCTGTAGACTCGTTCATGTCTACAAATCATTAGTTTAGACATCAGTACAAATAATATATTTCTTTATCATCAAGATACAGTATGAAAGCAATAAAGTATGACTTACGATACTGGGCCTTCCCTGTTCACATGCACTGGGCGATGGTTATGGTGTTATTGTCTACTGCAGTGAGGAGTGTACAAGAAGACAACAAATTACAGCATGTGTGAAAAAAGTTATACCATGTCAACACACAAAGAGAAAAAGTGACAATATCAGGTGACTTTATAAATGTGTAATGTTAATACAGACCATAAACTTCTCTCTGGGGCTTGTGTTCTGACAAGCATAACAGAAATGGTTAATGTCCTTGATCCATACAAGTATTGGCTTTTGACCAGAAACCATTCCAGCCTGTTGGAAGACACCAAAGTTATTTAAAAAAGTCTTACCAGACCTGGGTTATAGACACAATATAATATAATATAATATAATTCGACATACAGCACAACGTTTCTTTGTTAGATTATTTGAGGCATGCCAGACATCGAGTGAAGGAATAATACCCTGATATCTGCCCTTTTCTGGATCTGTTCAGAACACAACAAAATAATCTTGTAACAAGTTGCAATTCAAATTAAAAACTCATAAGCATGTTATGTCAAATGCAGAGGATTGAATTGCCCTGCGGGGATCAATCAAGTGCACCTTTACCTTTAATATTCCTAATTAAAAAAAGTTAGATAATGGGAAAATAATGAAAAACAAACATTCCAGCAAATCTATAATAATCAGATGTCCAAGAGCTTAGTGCATTACCTGGAGAGTCCGTCAGCTGTAACAGAAAGGCCTGTAAGGATACACTGTAGTGAATATGCTTACTTACCAAGGGCAACTAATCTGTCGATCATCTCCTCCGTGCATCCCATGTTTCAGTTTTGGCTGTTCCAAACTATATGGACACAAAAAGTGTTAAAAAGAATGTAACTTCACACATACCATTTTAGTACTTGCTTTGGTAAACACATGTGCAAAGCATGTACACATTGAAATCCATTGAGAATAATGCAATAATAATAATGTAATTTACACATTATTGCCTGAATACTGGACATGTTTGTAAGCCTCTCCTTCTTAACTAAACAACGAGACCTTTGCTAAAGCTGTAGGTACTTCAGTTGTTTCTCAAATAGCCCCGTTTGTAAACAAAACGCTGCGCATCAGTTCATGTAGCATATCCAGCTAATGCT